CTGGAGGTTGGAATAAGTGTTGGAATGGGGAGAATTTATTCTCAACTTAGAGAGTAGTGTACGTCCTGTATACAGCCTGGGCTAGGATCCTAGGGGCTCCAAAGAGATACACTTGATTGACTTGAAGAGTGAGAAAGTACTTGCAAGTATTTCATTAATGTTGTTACCTTAGGCATGTTTTAGTCACAGACATGCAGAGAAATAAAATAAAATAAATAAATAATATATACATTTTTTTTTAATGTTTACATTTTAAAACTGACCACAACCTTTTTCGAGGCAGCAGCTTTTCATATATTCCTCTGCCCTAGTCATGGGTTCAGGAATGCATTATGGGTAATACATTCATAAAGTAGTGATAGGTTTTTGCATCCCGCTTCCAGCACGCCAACAATTTCACAGTTGACATAGCCTGTGAATAGATGCATAGATAGATAGATAGATAGATAGATAGATAGATAGATAGATAGAAGATCATGTTAAATCTTTTGCATTTAATAAGCTGCTAAGAAGTTATATTTGTATACAGTATACTGTATTTTTAATCTATAATCTCACAGTGACCATTATTCTGATTTACAGTGCTAATGATATTCTCCAAGACAATAATCCTCTCTGAAATTAGCTTGGGCTATACCACAATTTGCATTAATATGAAAGGGCCAAGTGCTCTTAGTCTTTTATGCAAATTCAGAATTATAAAATGAGTCCACAAATGACTACCATACTGTTGGTGCATTTTTTAGTAGGTGTTGCAGGACATTTCATGTTTGCTTACAATGGCTAGTCGCTTGGGGAGGATTTTACAGAGGCACTTGTTTGATAAACACATTAAGCACACTGAGATAATTACAGATAATCTACAGCCGGCAAGCTCTTTATCACAGCTCAACAGAGGAGGCTTGGGAGTAGACACTAGACTGGCGGGAAGCCTTGCAGAGAGGCAAATTATTTAGCATACGTCCAGGAAGTGTGCTTACAAAAGAGGATAATTTGGCTCAGAGTTTCTAGCACACAGAGATGCACAACATAGGCTTATTGCTGCATGACTGATATTCCAAAGTTGGATCTTCATAGACTAGCAGAGGCCCAAGAGTGCTGCCAAGAGAAGATGCAAGCAAAGTCAGCCAGAAACAGAGCAGAAAATATATCTAAAATGGGGAATTAAATCCATGCATCCATATGTTACTGCAAAGGGTGATAAAACAATGGGGACCAGAAGCAACAATTTCCTAACTTCCCGGAAAACCACTTTAAGCAGCAAATTCACATTCACACTATCTGAAAAAGTACAGTACATCTTTCTAGTATTTGTATAGTTCAAGTACACGCAATTGCATAATCAACAAGCTTATTTATGAGATTGATCAATACAAACTTCAGTAAGGGAAGCTGAGCAAAGAGAATCTCTTTGTTAATGTATCCATAGAAACCAAATGCCCATTGTCTGACACCCGTGGATTTAAAATGTTTGGCCTGCATTCTGAAATATAATTACTATCATTTGCTCCCCATATTTATATTGCATTAGTATATTTTCAGGCACTTTACAGAGTACAATGAGCCGTTAACATCAGTCTCTGCCTAATAGGAACTTACAATCTATTATCAAAAACTGCCAAACAAGCACATGCACACGTGCTAAGGCTGAGATGTTTGGATGCTGATTAACCAAACACCATAATTTTAGGCTGTGAACGGAAACTTGAGCAGCCAGTAAAAATTCACACTAACTTACAAATTTCACACAGACAGTGCCCTTGGTGGGAATCAAATCCCAATATTGAAAGCCAAGAGAGTCATAGTTTATTACATGCTTGTAGAAGGCATGTACAGTATGTGTGTTTGTGCATATATTGTATCCAGTCGATTTTTATGACTATGAATTTCCATTGTGGGTTCCTACTGTGCACCCTTTTCCTACAATTATGCCAAATTGGCATGTGCTTATACATTCTGTTTGATAGTGTGATATTGTGTAGAGAATCCAAAATCCAGCAAAACTAACATGTTTTAAGATGCAAGCATTGACCAGTTCCATGGATGCTGCTTCTGGTCCACTCCATTCTGCCTCAGGTATCTGACTATTGGTCATTGTTCAGAGCCATCAACTAGGCATTCACCATACTTTGCATATGATTGGTTTCTGTATGAGTTTTGGGCCATGCATCTGCAACTGCATTAATGTCACACTGGAAGCAGCGGCTGAGTCTGTGTAGCTGCTTTGTCCCAAATGACAGCAATGGAACTGCCTGCATGGGGATGCCTAGAACACCTGTGCATCCTCGTGCAGGTAAACATGGCCCTCCATGGGTGTACGGTTATGTAAACCTTGCGTGATTGAGGCCAAACAGTTTCTTTTGGTGGATACAACAATTCACATATAGTTAACAGTTTATGCCCATTTTCTTTCTATGGCTGTCTAAACTCTAGGCAAAGATGAAAATAAATTCAATCAACATCCAACTGTCTCACAAATTTAGGGGGGATTGCATGCAAACAGTCTAGATACTGGTTTACCTTGAAAACAATGAACATTGCGCAAGAATTTTAATTTTTACAATCACTTTTTTCCCCTGTGGTAAGTCATGGCAGATCTTTTAAGGCTATGCCATAGACATTAGATCATCACCTGATCTGAATAAAGGCAGCAGGATTAGGAAGATTTTGCCCTTAAAACTTTCATTGCTAGGGCTGTTTTTTTTTTGCACACATTAAAATGCACAACTTTGATCTGAAGATTACTGAAAAACATTGGGGTGGATTTACTAAAAATGGAGAGTGCAAAATGTGGTGCAGCTGCACATGGCAGCTTCTAACGTCAGCTTGTTCATTTGATCGTTTTCAAAAAACCTGGAAGCTGATTGGTTTCTATGTAGAGCTGCACCAGATTTTGCGCACTCCAGTTTTAGTAAATCAACCCCATTATATATTTTATGAACACTGGGACACTGGAAAAAAAGGTGGCAGTTGCCATACCTGTGTAACAGAAACATCATTCAGTAAACAAAATTAAGAGAATACAAAAATTCAAAATTTTTCATGGGTGTTGGTTTGAAATGCTTTATGGGTCTTCATTTAGAATTAGCTGTGAATATTAGCCCTAGAATTATTGCTCTCACCCCTTATATATGTGAGACCTTATATGTGTGACACAATTTTTGTTTTGTACATAGATGAACACCCATCACACACATTTATGTTCTTATGAGCATGTATATGGGGATGGGGGCTTTAACAAAATTTGGAAGGGACTTTTATTTATTTTACTTAACATTAATTTCTAATTTTTTTTTTTTTGCAGTTAACTTTTTTGCTATCACAAGGGAGCTGACTGCAAAAACGTTTGAGCCCAACTTTCAACAAATTTTACAATTACAATGGCAAGAAATGGGCAGTCTATCTAGGTGTTAACTGCATATCTCTAGTGTTGAACTATTGAAAAAACTGTTATAGATTTGCATAAACGTGCATATACAGTCACTGAACAATCACATTTTCTATCCCATCTACATAATTTGAAGTAAAGTGCGGCCCATGCACACATGTAAGTATATTTAAAATACAAATTAATTTAATGCTCTTTTTAGGCTAATAATCTAAGGCCTCTTTGACTTGACCCCTAGTTAAGCTGTAATGGCAAGGTCACAGGTGACATTTATATGCTTCTTGACCCAGATTCTAACTTAGATGATCAAAACTACTTTTAAATTGTAATTTTCCAAATCACAAATAAAGGATGGAAATTACATGGTATCAGATCCTTCAAGAAAGGCAGTGTCATTTGAGTCATATATGTAAATGCAGAAATTATCAAAGAGAACAATCTGAATCTAGCTGAATTAATGTTTTGTAATTTAAAGCAATTAAACATACCCCATTTACATTATTCACCATTGTGATGATAATACTGTTCAAGGTTATTCAGCGCATAACAAAATGTTTCTGCTTTTATTTAATCGTCTTTCTTCTCTTGACTACACAGTGCATTACACTATAGTTTTCATTCTGCAAATCATTAATACTACTGGTTGAATAACCAGGAATAAATCTACAGTGCATAAACACAAAAATTAAAAAAATGACTAGACAAGACTTAATTTATTCTAGAAATACTAACATTTTGAGCATCACTAGAGATAAATGAGTCATGTAGGCCAGGGGCTGCAGGGTAACATCCAACAATCAGTTCTCTATCATTTTTTTGGAATATATATTCACTGAATTATAGCATTTTCCTTATCCATAAACGAATGTTCGAAGCCTTTCCTACATGCATTTAGGAAACCATCAAATACGTCATCAAGAATACTGTAACTTTATAACCCTTATCATGAAATGGAAATCTCAACTTTCTTTCCACGTTTGTTAATGTTCTGTGAAGCAAGTTAAAGTAGAACTATGGCCTCCCATTAATAAATATGTGCTTCAGTGCTTAAAGTGATACTATACACACCCGGTTTAATTTACATTATCCCTTCTCTTTCTGTATGTGGATGATGGCACTGTAATTATTTTAATTAAAAGTACCTTTTTCCTAATCGATACACAGTTGTCACATGACCCAGATCTTTCCCAGCCTGTCTGTAGGGAAACATAAGCAGGAGGAGCTTCCAGTCCTCTGCTGCTGATCATATATTCAAAATTTACAAAACAGCCTTTGGGATACAAAGTAAAAATAAATAAATAATATCAATAAATTGCTTTAAATTGGCATACAAATATATATTTAAAATCAAATCTTTATTATTTTGTGAAAAGAGCATTGTGTGGGTGGATTTCTGTCAGTCACAAACCCCTCAAGCCTGTTCCTTAGAATAACAGGGAAGTGAAGCCTCCATCAATTAAGATGTAATATCCCACCCCTATTGTGGTTAGCTGGTTGGTAGGCATGGAGGAGAGTGGGAGTGGGCTGTCATTTACCACTGTGTATACACCCACATGTGTGATTCTATAGTCACATGGGATGCTCAGATGTGATAGGGAGGGAATTCTAAGCATAGAAACTCAGTGAGAAGCGAGCATGTGCAGAGTTGCCACTACAGCTGCAAAATCCCTAGCTGAATTGGGGACATGCACAGAAGGTGGAGATAGAGAGCAGCTGGATGAACCAGTTTTTTTGCAGAACACAGGAGTCTCATAGTGACTAAGTATGAACAGCATGTAATACAGCATTTATTGATAGTTTTTTATGATGTGGATTTAGTGACGCTTTATTAGCAAGTGCATCTGCACTTACAGTCTTCACATAGTCCTCCTGCAAAGTCCCATCTATGAGAACAGTCAGTGATGGTGTAAGATGCAGCACTTCTTGTGAATTATTGGCCCTTTCATGTAGGCTGTGTCTGTATGCACTACAGTAGGATGAAAAAAGTTTCAGGTGGTGTGATCATTGTCATTGCTGATTGACAAGCCCATAGCTCATCAATCGGCACCTGTCCACACCTAGTTCTGCTTTCTGGATTGACAGCACTGTCTGTGTTTCTGCAGTGTCTCAGAGGGAAAGCATTTGAGACACAAATAAATGAGACCTTGGCTCAGTCAGGGAAGATAGAGAAAGTTTTTTGGCTTGCACATCACTTAGGTAACAGAATTAGACTGGCAGGAGCCTTCAGTTCTACTTTAACAGATAATAAAGGTATCAGCAGGCAAAAATTAAGGCCAGAACTGGTTTATAGTTTTGGTAGACACAGCCTTTACACAATTTAAAACCTGAATGAAAAAAAAAACATATATATGATTGTTATATACAAAATATTGACACATTAGACATCTTGTATTTAATAAAGGAACCACTGACAGTAAATGAAAAAGTGATTACAGATTAGCAGATACTAAACAGAGAACAACAGGTGGGGATATTTCTTTACGTACTTTAGAAAATCCTTACAGTGCAATGCCCAGATGTGATTCTTGCTCAACTATGACTGTAGCACTTATAGGGGACACTCCATTATTCTGTGCCAGGCTCACATGTGGGGGGAACAAGTTTTAAGCTCTTTGAGTGGTGATGATTGCCTTCTGCTAACTGTTGCCTCTAGTGAGGTTAGAAGCAGTCTGATTGCTGCAATAAATACAGGAAAGTAGAAGAACTTTTTAGCTGCCATAAGTGTAGTATCCCTAATAATTTAGAAAAAAACACGATGAGCCATATGATTTTTACGCCTCTAAGCCAGGCGCTGCTGAAAATTGATAGCATACACTAGAAGTTTTCAGACTGATAAACCAGTAGATATAACTGTGCAATATCTGGAACAATTTTCAGCACCTGTTTGTTTATATAGCAGAACATCAAAAGATACAGAGCCACACAGACATAACTATATGTGACTCAGATTTTATTTTAGGAATGTTGGCTAGTATTGGCAGACAGATTTACTGTCGAGATGTCAAAATGACATATGGAGGCCTTTATCTTGAAAGGAAAACCAGTTATCTTACATACAGCTTTTAGTTCAGCCCACACATAGCTAATAGAAAATATGAAATGTTGCATAATAATAGAATGCCTTTTTTCTTTTACAGGCAAGCAGGTAAAGCTACTAACAGGTGTAGAATTGCACATTTTTTGATTGTATGCTGGAGGCTTATTCCTTACAGAACTCAGCAAGGTTTATTTACAAAAGAGTTGAGATTCTTTACTTTATTTCTCCAATCATGTGAAGAGAAAATTCCCGATTCATTTAATCAGCACATGATTGTGTATTTATAGTGAACAGGAATTTCCTCTTCATATGATTGAGTGATTTAAGTAAATATTTAAACAATTCCTGGCCTCAATGGTCATCAAGGCAATGACCCAACCCTTAGGCAGGCCATAGACGGAGATAATTTATTTCCTGCAACCATGGCCATGCTGAGCTATTGTGTTCTCCTGGTGGGAAGGGGGGGAAAGTGATTATTGCAAGTGACTATAATAGCCACTTGCAATATTTAAATGTAAATTCTGGCAGGCTGGTTGTACCCCAGTTGATCGATCGATCAACTTGGGTACATTCAGTCTGTCCATACATGGTTCAAATCTCAGCCGATTCAGCAGGATTCAAACCAGCTATGGCCAGCTTTAGTAAGAGGCTCAGTGCAGGGTTTTACTCATACAAAAGGAGCTGCAAAGAAAGTAGCAACTGATGTGCTTTTTCTTTAGATAAGTATTTTTATACAAATATAAAGCAGTCATTAACAACTGCATAACCTCTATAAAAACAATTTTATTTTCCCTCTAAGTATAACTTGCCTACAAGCATTGTTTTTAATGTATGACAGATGGAGCATGTCAACTAACAAGAAACATAACATAATAGGAGGACAGACTGAACAATGAGTGATTATGCAATTTATAATGGCCTTTTCCTGTTTAGTACAGTTAATGACTAATTCTAGATAATTTCATATTATTTTTAGTCCCAAACAGTAGAAAAATGCCGTAGGTACCACATGCTAGTGTACATAAGCTGGAATCCATATATTACTGATACCTGCATCTCTGGGATACGAGTTAGTCAGATCTACTACACTTCATCATTTCTAGGCAGTATGGCATGCTGTAAAGCTATGGAAGTCACTACCATCAAAAAATTATTGACTGAACTGACAGAAGAGTAACTAGCCAAAACAATAAAGGTAATGTGTTTATTTGCAGCTCTTCTTTTTCACAGGCAGCAGGCAAGAGACAGAACTCTGAATGGCTATAATCTATGACATGCTGGGCTTGGGCTCTCTGCCCACTGTGATGCATATCTGCAAAAAAAAATAACAAATCAGAGAATATGACTTAGTAGTAGAGGCATGAATACCAGAAATCTACAGGAATCCACATCCTTATCTTTTAACTATTTTGAGATTTAATGGGCCTCTAAATAAATCCATAGGTAAAGTAGAAAACCCAAGCATTAGTAAGCTAATTACAACATATCTTAAGCACCATATTCAGTGTCTTAGTTTACAGGTTATATCTATATAATGATATACAAAACACTACATTAGTAGTTTATCGCTTCTAACAGTAACACATCTCACCAAGCAGATACACATAACAGAAACTCCAATATCTCCATCTTGATCATGTGACCATCTCCAAGCAAGGGTCATGCAGTCAGGAACATACAGTGTAATCGTTTGTCTTTGACCATAGACAGCTTTACTGCCTACAGTTACGAGGAAAGCAATTCTTTAATTTCAAATTTAATCAAGAAGTATACTGTAAATCACTCAATAACTCTCAATGTAATTAACTTGGTCACAGCAGCAGCATCATGGGAGTGTGGAAAGGTACTCACTGTACATGTATAGAGCGTAATGAAATAAGTCCCTTTGTACTTGTAGGATGACATACGTATATTATTTGAGATTTGTCACAGAAGGGTCATGACCATTGCTCCTGAGGGGAGGCACAATATAGTCACAGCACAAGTAAAAATTATAATACAAAATCACATTTTCTGTTAGTGTACTAATCATACATGTAACCCAGTCTTCAGCATTGGAAGGAAAAGTATATACACTGGCACAGCTACAAGGAGAGGCTGCTATTACAGGACCGAGAGTTCACCCTTTAACTAAAAGGAATACACCAGGATGTGGACTGCTAGGATTATTGGAGGTTTAGTTTGCTACAGACGTAAATGGCTGGATAGGCTGGGAGGAAAAAAACTACATATCCCATAGGGCACTGGGTACAAAGGGGAGAGGTGGTTCCCTGATGGATTTCCCCAGCTAAGGAGATATGTGGAGGCTGTTCTGGGAGGACTGATTGCACACTAGGCTGTACTAGCTAATTGAGGGGAAGGACGCTGACCAGCTATACTTCACACAGTAAACACAGGGTGACCACTTGATGACACCAGTGTTGGTGAAAGGCTGTCTGCCAAATCCACACTACACCTTGGCATAAGGAGTGACATAGTTGTTTACAAGTGACACAGAGCCAGTACCTGCACCAATGTTTAAAGGGACATTATCCTAAGTGCATCACAGTAACAGTTTGGCCCCATGGAGCTGGCCAGAAGAAGAAATAGGGTAGTACATTATTGATTGCTGAACTGTTATAGTAGCTTGTGCTTCAAACCAATTTTGGTTTCTAGATAAAAAGTAAACAGGTGGCGCACACACCTAGTGCATTATCCAAGGTTTATTTAAAGGTATAAAAGACAAAAACATACTCACAGACCAAGCATGTATAAAAAGCTTTTGCATTAAGAAGATGGCCACAACGGCGCAGGCAAGGTTTTCCAACTGTCAGTGCGGTCAAATGGCTGACGCGTTTTGGAGTCCCTTTCCTCAGAGCTGCTGACCAGCCTCTCAGACTGGTACAGACGTATAGTGAATAAGGTAGACCGATGGTTAGAGCAATGGTGCTGCTGATGAGGTGGACAATTTTGGTTTCTGTTATACTGTTTGTTCAATTGCATTATATTTTTTTTCTACTATTTTTTATATTTTTTTCTGCTCATTTGCAATATAATTCCTGCTTAACCTTCTACTGTGTTACTAGTGGTGGCCATACACCTTAAGCCACAATAAATATTCTCCACCCATCCAGCTGTGTGAGAATGGGTGTGCTATTTTCAGAGTCATGGGCACAGGGGACCCAATACATCCAGAGGCTCCTTTGAAGGTAAGAGTTACATACATAATACTATGACTTTAGTCAAGGTTGATGTAATCCCTAACTGAAATACACTTAGTTGCTAAAGTAGCTTGTGTCATAAACAATTGTCAAGCTGCATGGCATATCTTAGTGTGAGTTTCTGTGGGCCATGTGTGTAATCTCCTTTCTGACAACACAGAAGCACGATTGGGAGACAGAGCATTGTCTATCCTAAAAAGTGCCGGAATAAGGACCTTAATGGCAAGATTACCAGATATTATTTTATTGCTTACTGCAGATTTAAAAGTATTGAAAATGCCTTTTTTAGAATTACTCCTAAAACATTAAAACTTATGAGATTTTAGTGATTGGGTATACTTTAAGCTTCTTGCATTTGCTATACTAGACATTATCTTTGAGTGGGATTCTGTACTTATGCTACCAATAATTTTTCTCAGGAAGGTATTCTCTTTGTTTATGGGTTTACAAACGGTATACTTTAATGAGACCATAAAGTCGGGCATAATCGGTTAGTGCAACTTGATAAAAAGCCTTGATATACATCCTGCAAACACTACTGTAGCATTTTTACAACAAGAGTACTAATAAAAATCCAAAATGCACAAAAAATGAAGAATGTACTCAAAGTATTCCCTACTAGCAAACTGACAGGATCATTAGCAGGCTGGGATGTCACAACATAAACAGAAGAATGAATAAAGGGAAAGGTGTTTGCTAAATGGAGTCTTAAAACCATGGTTAGAGTTTGGGAAGTGCTCCCTAAGACATTCCTATCAGTGCTCTATTAAAGTCAGCAGCATTAAGAAGAATTGCTCTTCTGTACAAAAGATGATCTACAATGTAAGTAGTACAAAGAATACAATTCCCAGCCTGCTCCAAACTATAGCCAGCTATACATGGATCAAAATTTGTCTGGTTCAGCAGGGACCGGCCAAATTTCAATCCATGGAAGGGCATGCTGGTTGTACTGAATTCAATCCATTGATCGACTTCATTACAACCAACCTGTCAGGTTTTTTTTGTTTGATCACAGCTGGAGACCATGGCTGCAAGCAGTAATCATTGTATTCTGACTGCTGGGAAACTTACCGCTGTCAAAATATAATAGCTCTGCTACAGGGATTCCCCCATCAACACTGACTGTGTTGAAAGGAGAATCAAGCCATATTCTTTTCTGCAACCTGTGGTTGCAGGAAAGAAAATTGCTTAATGAATGGCCTGCTTTACTCAAGTAGTGATCAGCTATGGCAAAGATCTATTAAAACTGGAGCGTGAAAAATCTGGTGCAGCTCTGCATAGAAACCAATCAGCTTCCAGGTTTTATTGTCAAAGCCTAACTGAACAAGCTGAAGTTAGAAGCTGATTGGCTACCATGCACAGTTGCACCAGATGCTAAGAGCTCCAGTTTTAGTAAATTTCCACCTGAGTCCTCTAAAAAATACATTTTACATTTTTTATTTGCTGTTAATTTTAATTTATGTTACTTTTTTTTATTAATAACACAAACCTGAAGCCACAAAAAAAATATTTATTATTAGTAAACTGTAAAAAAAATACACATTTAATGCAAAAAAAGCAATTATTAAAATGACTACTATTACTACCACAACTACTACTAATAATAAACATATCAACAATATTGATAATAATGCATAACCATGTGCACAAACTGCTGGTTAACAATGCGTTTTTTTCTGTGTAGCCCTAAGTGTAGTATTAAACTCCTAAATGGTTTAGGGGGTTTATCAAAGGACTACCAAACATAACCGATATATTAGTGAAAAAGGAACAAATACTAAAATAATAATAATGATATTATTATTATTATTATTATTATTAATAATAATATAATAATAATAATAAAATGAGGGGTGATCAAAGGGTTAAATGTGTGCTGTTTTACTAAGTGCTGTGTCTGTGTGCTTCACTGTAAGCACACTGCTTTGCATGGCTGTGCTCTGCACAGCCATCCAAAGCAGTGTACATAAACTGACAGGGAGAACTGTTTTGTTTACAAACAGTTCTCCTCCCCATTGGCGATGCTCGGCAATCACCAGGTGCCGGTGAGTAATCACCGGCTGGGACCCGGTGACTGACAGCCGCAGCTGCGAAATGCAAAATCACACATATATATATATATATATATCAGGGGCGGCGGACTGACAACTCATGAGGCCCCCGGGCAATAGGGGATCATGGGGCCACTGTGTCCTTGCCCAAACTCAAAAAAGCCTATCAAAAAGGTACCAGGAGCATCTCATGGGGCCCCCTACTGACCCCGGGACCTCGGGCAGTGCCCGAGTTTGCAAATGGTCAGTCCGCCCCTGATATATATATATATGTGTATGTGTGTGTGTGTGTGTGTGTGTGTGTGTGTGAGATTTGCACAACCATGCCACCCTGTAGCAGTATTTCTGCTATAGGGCGGTCGGGAAGTGCCCAGTGTCCTTAGCACAGTGTCAGTGCTTTTTTTTTTTTAGTTCTGATCACTGTATTGGTGTCACTGGGGATGTCAGTGACACCAAGTCATTTCCCCCCAGTGTCAGAATGCCCGCCACAGTCCCGCAGTCCCTCTATAAGTTGCTGATCACCGCCATTACTAGTAAAAATAAAAAATAAAAATCCCATTATATATACCACCATTTGTAAACGCAATAACTTTCACGTAAACCAATTAATTTACACGTATTGAGATTTTTTTTTTTAGAACATATATGTAGCAGAATACATCTTGGCCTAAATGTATGATGAAATGTGATTTTTTTTTTTACTGGACATGTTTAATAGCAAAAAAAAAAAATACAGTTTTTTTCTCAAAATTGTTGGCCTTTTTTTATAGTGCAAAAAATAAAAATCACACAGGTGATCAAATACCACCAAAAGAAAGTTCAATTTGTGGGAAAAAAAGGACATAAATTTCTTTTAGGTGCAGGATTGCATGACCGCACAATTGTCAGTTAAAATAACGCAGTGCTGTAACACAAACAATGGCCTGGTCAAAGAGGGGGGTAAATCCTCAGGAGTGCAAGTGGATAATAATAATAATGTATGCACACACATGCACCTTATATACTGTTTATATATATATATATATATATATATATATATATGAATGGAAGAAAGAGCAGAATAACAGAGAACTATGACTATCAGTGCAATGCTTCTCATTCCACTACCTAGCCACAGGGTGTGGGAGGGGAACTGATCTGTAAGTGAAAATGAAACTGCAACACAGAATGGCTAGGTCCCTCCCCTGACAGACAGAACTAGTTGGATAACAAATTCAAAGACATTGGCAGTTTTTGGAGATGTATTTCATCTGTGCATCTACCTGTTTGCCTGGAGTTCAGCTTTAAAAATATAGCCATTCTGTGCTCTTATCTCAAGGAAGAGCATTTCTGTCTGCTACATCCTTAACCTCTGCACTCCGGCCGAACACAAAATGTGTGACCTCCCAGCGTCTGGGCCTAGACGCTGAGGGGCCACACATTTGCGTTCTATTAAAAAAGAACATATGTGCTGAGAGCGTGCTCCCAGCATACATGTCCGGTACTCATGGAAAGATCATGATCTCCTCTTTCGATCATGTGACCTTTCCTGATCATGTGACCGCCGTGACGGCGTGTCACGGCGGTCACATGACCCTAAACCCCGCATCCTGGCTTCTGAAACCTTTAAGGGCCGGGAGGCGCTGGCGTGAAGGGGTTAAGATTAAATGCTGGTACACACTGGCTGAATATCAACCTGTATTCGTCAGTTCAACAGAAATCATCTGATATTTGGCCAGTGTGTACAGCCACCTGTCTGCCTAAAAAGCCAGCAACTGATCAGTTTGTTCTGTCTGGGGGGCAGAACCCATGTTAGAACTAAATAGCTCAGCGAGGGAGATCACTGCAATAACATTGCATAATTAGTACAGCGACCACTCGCTTTTTTTTTTTTTGTTCAGCCCACTGGGTATGCTCAAGTATACCTAGTATAAATAGAAGTGAATAAATAAGGTTGCACTGTGCAGTAGATATCAAATATTTAAAAGACTGCATAGGTGTGGGATTATTTTTACTTATTTCTAAATGTTTCTTAATTGATATTTCATGTCAAATAATGTTTTGTTTTGGGGTAATGAGATAGAAAAATACCCAACACAGAGTGACAGACTGTAAGGGCATATAACAGGCTCCTAAGTGCCCCGTCTCATAATGATTAATAAAATGAATCAAAGAAAGTGGAAGGGGTGTATTTATTTAACAATCTATATACCTCGCTTAGATCAAGAGACCCCCCTTTTAAGGACTACCTAGTGGTGTATCATCCTTGTGGGATCCTCCTGCTGACTTGCCTGACACGTGGTTGCTCCATGCGTTATCAACATCTATCCCGACACACTTTCTGCTCTGTAGCTGATTCCTCAAGGTATTTATGAATTTATATAACCAACAACTAATAACATTATATTATGTTATATCATGTTATACTTATATTCAACCCTTCTTTTATGTATTAACTCCTGAAGAAGCTATACTCTCATGAAACATGTAGAGTAACTACAGAGTGATTACTAATATCGACATCTGATTTATGTCTTTTGATACCTTTACTGGGATACAGTATTTTTGTGTGCCAATTTTAACTATTTTTGACTAGTTTTGTAATCTGCATAGAATGCTCCACCCCCTCTTGGGGGTCTTGCATTCTTAGCAGAATAATCTGTATGTATTGCTATGTGATGGTCTACATTCTAATAATAAAGTGATTTTTAAGATATCTTTGTTGTAGCTCCTCTAAAGTCCATATTTGGAATTTTTTATTTTTCTTTGGTTAATTTTATTGTTTTGGGGTAATATATTTATTCTTGTATGTCTTCCTTGTTTGAGATTTCAACAAGCATTCATGCACTAGAAAAAAAATATTAAAAAAAAAAAACTAGTACTGTACCCCTACTGGTCTCAATAGTCAATAAGTAAATACAACTCAACTTGTCCACTCCTGGACTATCCAGTTGTATAAGGTCTAGTTTTATGTACCAGAATTGGGATCCTATGCTCAATGACTGTCTAATTGAGAATGATAGTCACCCTACCAGGGATGTCACCTTCCTGTCTTCAGCTTGGCACAGGAGCCCAAATATATTGGAATGTATAGAGTGCCAAAGCTAGTAAAAAGTGTGCTGACTTCAGATAAGCCAAGCAGCTGTCAAAATGTGTTTTTAAGGACAAAACTCTATGTTGCATCTACTTTAGCTATACAGGCCAACAGGACCTACACTTATTTTTTTAATGTGTCAGGATACCTCTTCTTTAGGCATTTGCAAACACAGCATATGAATACAGAGAAACACAAATACACACTTTTAATGTTATGCATTTTATAAGTCACCCCTAGGCCATCCCCTTACATATTTCATATGTTTATTTATGTTATGTTAAATTTTGAAAAAAAAATATGTATGCGGCAAGTAAGAAAGTTCAAAGTTTATCACACATTATGTCACACTGTAACATTCTGTTATTTTAAGAGAAGGACCACAAACACAATTTAAATAGGCTAATAAAGAAATAAAACATAGTTATTTTGTATTCTGTAAGTCACCCCTTTGATATCTATCTACAGAAGTTCATACGTACTTATTTATGCTATGGTATAAAAAAAAAAAATACATGAAGCAAGGAAGAAAGTTCAAGGGTTATCACACATTATGTCAAAGCATAACATTCTATCTTGAGTTATCTTAGCATAAGACAGAGTAGAAGTGTAAAAATAATTCTCTTGCTTGTCAGTGCTGATTAATTAGAGTGAACTCGTGAACTTGTGTGAACTCGGAAATGGCCTCATTGAAGAAGACAGGAGCTTTAGTAAATGCGGAATACAAGCAGGTAATATTTAAAAACATGGCCTTTTTAAACGTATACTGTATTTATTTGTATATTTCCTATTTTGAAAACAAGGAAATCTGTTTGCACAATTTACATTTTGGTTAATTATAGCACAATATTTAGGGTACCTTAGATGCAATCTGATGTAGTATGGTGTTGCTGTGCATATATGAAATGATGGGTTCGTGAGAAGAAATAAATATATCACAGTTGCCAAGTATAGAGGGTATTCATTCACCTTTCTGCCCACCACAATCAGTTTCTATGTGTGTGTTTGTTACATGAATTGCATTCTAAACCTTTGTATCCTTGGTTACAAAAGAAAGATGTAAGGAATGCTGCAACAATTGCTTCATATGACTGCAGAGTATGGTTTCTGTGTCTGGATAGCTAAATTAATCAATTCAATTTTCGGGAAGAAACAAGTTGTTAAAATGATTTTATAAAGCCATTTCTGTTATACCACATTATCAATTCATGGAAATACAAGCTGGATAATTAGGTTACAGGAATGTATTCCCATTTATTCAGGTAAATACTGTATATATACATAATTGTTTTCACCATTCTTTCCTGAGCTGACTGAACTGGAAAAAGGAAATAAAATGAATTGCTTGGTAAAAAGGTCTAAGGATAGTCCATAAATAACAGATAGAGCTCGGAGATTCAGAAGTGATCTGACAACCAAATGATGTCCAGCTGAGAGGCATATAAACACATATATTTTATGCTATCAGAATGTGGGACCCCTGCCGAACAATAGGTTATTGGCTGAAATAGAATTTAACTCTTTCTTAAAGCTGGACTGTAATTTAAATATACACTCACCGGCCACTTTATTAGGTACACCTTGCTAGTGCCAAGAAAATCCCCCCACACCATTACACCACCACCACCAGTCTGAACCATTGATACAAGGCAGGATGGATCCATGCTTTCATGGTGTTTATACCAAATTCTGACTCTACCATCTAAATATTGCCACCATTCTGCACATTCTCCTCTGACCTCTTAACATCAACAAGACATTTTCGTCCACACAACTTACACTCACTGGATATTTTCACTTTTTGTAACTATTCTCTATAAACCCTAGAGATGGTTGTGCATGAAAATCCCAGTTTTATAAATACTCAGATCAGCCCACCTAACACCAACAACCATGCCAAGTTCAAAGTCACTTAAATCCCCTTTCTTCACCATTCTTGGTTTGAACACAGCAAGTCATCTTCACCATGTCTACATCCCTAAATACATTGAGTTGCTGCCATGAGATTGGCTGATTACCAATTTGGGTTACCAAGCAAGCAATTGAACAGGTGTGCCTAATAAAGTGGCCTGTGAGGGTATTCCTTAATAGCCA